TGTCCAGGCCAACGAAACCCGACCTCCGGACCTCAAAACCCGATCTCCACCGTGCAGAATGTTGGCCCAGATGCTGTGAAGCTGCTGTCCAAAAATCACGACGATCCAACGGTTTAATCTCCGGGAAACTGAACTTTTCCGCTGCTGCCTGCTGGAAAAACGAGATGAGCATTTCAGCTCATGTTTTGTGACGTGTTGCTCTTATCTGCTGCTCTCTTTCTGTCCTCGAATAATAGATAGATGGTAGACCCTGTTTTTTAATTTAGCTCACAAAATAGAAAGTCAAAAGAAGACTTTCAATGGGCTTAAAGTTGGGCTTTCCTCATGGGTCAAAAACAAAGAAAGAACCCAACAAATCTCCCCTTTTTTGACTTAGGGGAAGAGTTCGCCATACCGGCGATGGAGCAACATACCTTCAACTTTTCCCGGGCCGCCGGGCCAGGGAAAACTTTAAATTTTTCAAAATTATATAATTTATTTAATACTTTATAAATAATATTACAACATTTAAAAAATTACTAATACGCTTATAATGTATATAGACCTTTCATCACATACACAGAAAATATTTACACAAAAATAATAATGAGAAAGTATATCAAAAATTTAAAATTCAAGCACAAAGTATTATCTTTAAGTACAAAAATAGATATTATATTGGTTGGACTATTTGTTAAGAACTAAAATATTAAATTTAAACATAATAAACTATAAATATCTATACAGATAAATTAGTAAATATAAAAATATACATGTGTACGGGTAAATAAATACATAAACTAGTATATACAAAAATATATATGTATATATACTAAATGTAGCGGGCCGGGCTTATTGGCCCGAACGGGCCTACACACTAACCCAAGCCCGCCCGTATGTTGTTGCGGGCCGGGCCCGGGCCCGAGCCGGGCCGGTGGGTAAATATATATGCCCAAGCCCGCTAATTTGTGCAGGCGGGCTGGGCGGGCCGACCCGGTTTTGTACAGGTCTAGCCATGACACAGCCCCCCTGCAAAAGTCATCAAATATCCAGAAGTGGATTTCATGTTGTCCTTATTTCCTGCCATATCAGAATCAGTATAACCAACAAGTATTGGCTCTCCATTTCCAAATGTTATGCCTAATTTGGAAGTACCACGTAGATATCTGAGAATCCACTTCACTGCTTCCCAATGCTTCTTACCTGGATTTGACAGAAAACGACTAACAACACCTACTGCATGGGCAATATCAGGTCGTGTGCACGCCATAGCATACATCAAGCTCCCTACAGCTGAGGCATAAGGAACTCTATCCATCTCTTCAATCTTCTTCTCAGAAGATGGACAATCTTTATCTGTCAACCTGAAGTTGGTAGTAAGAGGTGAACTAACCTCTTTAGCTTTGTCCATGTTGAATCTGCGAAGCACCTTCTCAATGTATTGCTCCTGTGACATGTGTAGCTTTTTCAAAGCTCTATCTCGAGTGATCAGAATGCCAAGAATCTGTTTTGCTGGCCCCAAGTCTTTCATAGCAAAAGACTTGCTCAATTGCATCTTCAGCTGAGTAATTCTTTCTGCGTTCTTGCCAACAATTAACATGTCATCAACATATAACAATAAAATGATGAAATCATCATCACCAAACCTCTGGAAGAAAACAAAATGGTCTGAAGTAGTCTTTCGGTAATTTTGCTCCCCCATAACTGACTCAAACTTCTTGTACCACTGTCTTGGTGCTTGCTTCAACCCATAAAGACTCTTTTGAAGTCTACACACATAGCCTTCTTTTCCCTTAACCTGAAACCCGTCAGGTTGCTCCATGTAGATTTCTTTATCCAAGTCGCCATGAAGAAAAGCAGTTTTGACATCCATCTGTTCAACCTCGAGATCAAGGCTGGCTGCCAAACCCAGAACAACATGAATAAATCCCATCTTCACGACCGAAGAGAAAATCTCATCAAAATCAATACCCTTTCTCTGACTGAACCCTTTGACCACCAATCTAGCCTTGTACCTAGGTTGTGAGGTGTGCTCTTCAGTCTTCACTTTGTAGACCCACTTGTTCTTCAAAGCTCTCTTGCCTTTAGGCAACTTCACCAACTCAAAAGTATTATTCTCATGTAAGGAATTCATCTCATCTTGCATGGCGTCAACCCACTCCCTTTTGTGCTCATCTTCCATGGCCTCTGCATAACACTCAGGCTCTCCTCCATCAGTGAGTAAGACATACTCATTAGCTGAAAAACGGGTGGAAGGATGATGATCTCTTTTAGACCGCCTAAGTGGGATAAATGGTGGCACTTCTGGTACTGGTATCTCTGCATGAAATTCTTCATTCACCTCTGGCTGTTCTGGAGCATCATTATCATGTTGTTCATCATTCTGAATATCATCATCAAGAGGTGGTTCTACATGCTAATGAGGCACTGGATCCAAATCAGTAACATCATCATTATGTTGAGGAACTGTATCTTTCTTCTCAGCATCTTTCAAGGTCTGATCTTCCAGGAACATAACATCTCGGCTTCGAATAAGTTTCTTGTGGACTGGATCATATAATCTGTAACCAAACTCATCTTGGCCATAACCCAAGAAAACACATGGTTTGGACTTCACATCAAGCTTTGATCTTTCATCTTTAGGAATGTGCACAAAAGCTTTGCATCCGAAGACCCTCAAGTGACGGTAAGAAACATCTTTGCCACTCCAAACCCTATCAGGCACATCAAGACAAAGGAAAACAAGGAGTTAGATTAATAACATGTACCGTTGTATTCAAAGCTTCTCCCCAGAATGAATTTGGCAGCCCTGCATGTGACAACAAACATCTGACACTCTGTTAATCCGTTCAATTGCGGTGTCTTGGGAGGACTCTTTTGATGTCGAATACCATGGTCTCTACAATAAGCATCAAAGGGGCCAATGTATTCCCCTCCATTATCTGTTCGAATACACTTGAGCTTCTTTCCAGTCTGTCTCTCAACCGAGGCATGAAACTGCTTAAACACCTCAAATACTTGATCTTTAGATTTCAATGTATAAACCCATACTTTCTGGAGTAATCATCAATGAATGTGACAAAGTAGGAGCAACCACCAAGTGTCCTAGTCTTCATAGGACCACAAACATCAGAATGCACCAGATCAAGTATACTCTCCTTCCTGGAAGGAGGATGGCTCTTGAAGGAAACCATGTTCTGTTTACCTGTCAAACAGTGAGAACACTTCTTTAGATGAATATCATGCACACCCGGTAACACATTTCTCTTCAACAAAAGAGACACCCCCTTTTCACTCATGTGACCAAGTCTCTTATGCCATAAATTAGTCATGTCAGTATTCACCACAGCATTGACCCTATCCTTGAAGATCTTCGGATGTGTCATGTACAACTTTGAGCATCTTTTACCTCTAGCCACAATCAAAGAACCACGAGTGAGTTTCCATATTCCATTACCAAAGTTGTTGCTGTAACCATCATCATCAAGTAAGCCTGAAGAGATCAAATTAAGCCTCATATCTGGAACATGTTTTACATTATGTAAAACCAACTCTATCCCAGTGTCAAACTTCAAACAAATATCTCCAATGCCTGCAATCTTTGATAGTCCATTATTACCCATCCTAACATTTCCAAAGTTACCTGGAGTGTAAGATGAATAAAAAGCCCTCGGTGATGTTACATGACACGTAGCACCACTATCAACAACCCAATTGGAATCATCATGTGCAATGTTGACCATATCAATGTTAACTTATGGTTATTTTGATTGCAGTAATCACTCTTCTTTTTCTCCTTTTTCAGTTGCCTGCAGAATCGCATTGTGTGCCCTTTTCTACCACAATGATAGCACTCAAAATAAGCAAACTTTCCTTTGGATTTACTTTGATGCTTCCCTTTGTTACTTGGACATCTACTCTGACTTCTCCCCCTGCTTTCTGTAACTAAGACATCAGAATGTGAAGAGGAACCTTGTGACTTTCTAATCATCTCTTCATTTAAAACACTGCCTTTTGCTAATTCCATGGTGATAATACCATCTGGTGCAGAGTTGGACAATGATGTCCTAAAAGTCTCCCATGAGTCCGGTAAAGTGCCAAGGAGCCACAAACCTTGTATCTCATCTTCAAACTAGATACCCATTCCTGCAAGTTGATTTATGATTCCCTAAAAAGAATTCAAATGATCAGTGACAGGAGTTCCATCATGGTATTTCAAGCTCATCATTTGTTTTATTAAGAACAATTTATTGTTCCCTGAGCCGGCCATGAGGCCAGTTGGCCTAGGCAGTTGCCTAGGGCCTCTCATTTTTTTGGGGCCTCTAAAACACAAATAAGTCAAGCTATTATGGAGTTATTTTAAAATTTAGTTACTAGGATTGATTTTGGAGTTGGCAAAGCCTGAAGGTGCTATCTCAGTAGGCCAACATACGGAACTTGAGAGTGAGGTCGGTGGAAGCTTGCTATCCACATATGGAGTACTATCTTTTGTCACATGTCACGTACTATCCTTCTTTTCGGTTTAATTGATTACATTTTTTTGAAACTTTTTAGTTAATAACTTAATAAATAATAATCGTATAAAAATTAATAAATTATAATGATTGTAAGTCACTGTTAGTCATTTATGTTTTGCACTAATATTTATTATTGTAATAATATTGGGTGTTTAGTTATTTGGCTACTAATTCTTACAATTTTAATTGTAATTTTTATTTTTTAGTTTGTGTTGATGTTTTTTCTATTAATTAGTATCTATAGATATGCTAAATATTTAGGAATTATCATGATGGGTAAATAAAATTTGACTATGAATATACAAAGAGAAGCAATAAGTTGAAAAGAGATTTGGTTATTGAATCGCTTGCCGACTATATGGATCGATTGTAAAGACAAATTTTTCTTCCTCAAAGTTGTTGCAAATGTTGGCAATGACAATGCGGATGTTGAATTACTATTTTGTCTTATTTTTATGACTATGTGATATATACTATCGTAAATAACATTAATATGATATCTATCAAAATAAGTGTCACACTTTTCTTTTTGGGTTGTATTAGAATAAGTGTCAAACTTCCATTTTTGAAATCCATCCCAAAAGCCATTTTTAAAATAAAAAGTACAACTATAGTACCAAAAGTCTCCTAATTCTAAATTAAGAAAAAAGCCTAGTCGGTCACTTATTATGATACAGAGGTAGTATTAAACATACGTATTTTGCCTGGGGCCTCTGAACCGCTAGAGCCGGCCCTGATTGTTCCCGGTCTTTCGAGCATACAACTGTTCAAGCTTGTTCCACGAACTGCGAGCATGAGTTTCCCCGCTAATATGGTTCAAAACATTATCATCAACCCATTGGCGAATATACCCACAAACCTGTCTATGCAAAATATTCCACTCTGCATCTGTTTTACTCTCAGGTTTATCAGTAGTAAACACGGGTAAATAATAATCCTTCACATAAAGTAGGTCTTCCATTTTGCCTTTCCAAACATGATAATTAGAACCATTCAAATTGATCATCCTACTTGTGTTTGCTTCCATCATTCAAACAAGTTTAACCCGATACAGAAGAACTCAGCTCTGATACCAATTTGATGGGAAAAACAGCCCCAAACGGTTACTAATAAAATGCGGAATTAATCTCCGTTAGGCTAAAATTTCCCCAACTTAAATGAACCTTTGAGGATGCAAACAAATAGGTTGTTCTTAATTCAATTAGAACACACACAATATTGCTGCCACACACCAATATAATTAGCTAAAACAGTAAGCACACACCACACAAAAACACCGGAATTTTAGCGTAGAAAACCCGTTAACTAGGGAAAAACCACGGGACCATTTTGGTCTCTTAAATCCACTATCATCATCAAAGGAGCAGTACAAAGTCTTCTCTAGATAATACTAGAGGCATACAAAATCATCATATCCTTGGAAGTAAGCACATCAAGGTGTATGGAATCAAATAGAGCCAAGATAAGAAAAGTATCACCAGAAAAATAGCTACTGTCCAGACCAACAAAACCCGGCCTCCGGACCTCAAAACCCGATCTCCACCGTCCAGAATGTTGGCCCAGATGCTTTGAAGCACCTGTCCAAAAATCACGACGATCCAACGGTTTAATCTCCAGGAAACGGAACTTTTCCTCTGCTGCCTGCTGGAAAAACGAGATGAGCATTTCAGCTCAAGTTTTGTGACTTGTTGCTCTTATCTGCTGCTCTCTTTCTGTCCTCGAATAATAGATAGATGGCAGACCCTGTTTTTACTTTAGCTCACAAAATAGAAAGTCAAAAGAAGACTTTCAATGGGCTTAAAGTTGGGCTTTCCTCATGGGTCAAAAACAAAGAAAGAACCCAACAAATTTTAAAAAAGGCATAACCTTGACTAGGGATGTAAGTGAGCCAAGACGCTCGCGAGCTGCTCATGGATCACTCGGGAAAAGCTCGACTCGAGTTCGGTCATATTGAGATCGACTCGAGTTCGGCTTGACTCGAATAGTTAACAAACTCAATTCAACCCTATTTATTTTAAACTCGTGGCTCGCGAGCCAGTTCGCGAGCCTTTGTGTTATAGTTTATATATTTTATATATAATTATATACGTAATACATAATAATTATATATGTACTTTTAGGAGTATGATATTTGATATGCACTAATTAGTAGTGCATAAATGTATGTTTTTATGTTTGATTTGTGTGTATTGTTTATCATTTTATTTAGTTTGTAAACATTTGTGTGATTTTAGTTGTAATTGTATTTTAATCTTCATTTGTAAGTTGGAAAGTAGAATTAGGAAGACAAAATGACACGATTATTAAGACAATAATTAAATGTGCTAAGGGCTTTAGGGAGACTGGCAATCCTTGGGTATCCGGCGAATCTGCCGGCGACGGCAGACGGGCGGAGGGACGCAACCAGACTTATTGGCCCTGCTACAATAAAATTTGGCTCAATCATCGTTAATTGCTCAGAGGAGCAATTCTGCACTCCTCGGAGAGCCTTTGCCGTCGATGACCAAAACCTGTCGCGGGTTGGAGATGCAGTGATTGTAGGTACGACCGATGACATTGTAGGTCTTCATCAATGGCGGCGAGGACACAACAGCAGCGGAGACAACATGACTTCTGCCTTGGGGCCTTCTCAGAAGTTCAAGCAAGCCGACTAGATAGCGGAATCACAGAGGGACTGCAATTGCAACAAAGGATGGAAGAATCTGCCACCAAACCCTTCAACGGAACCCCAAAAACAGATGACCATCGAAAGACGGCGGCCTCACAACTTACTCTAGCAGAGTGGCTCCAGACGACGACATCACAGTAGATCTTTTGTCTCGAAAAGGGGTCTTCACGCCATGCGCCAGAGTTCCATCTCGGGACCAGCTGCGTACAGGTTGTGTAGGAGGGGCTCTCACTCCAAGCAACACAAATCTAATTTTGTAGGGCTGCACACACCAACTAGCAATTGGGCCTCAGGTAATCAACACTCAATTTCAATTTTAGCGGGCAGGCAGCCACTACCTCCATGGGAAATTAACATGTGCTCGGGTGAAAATGTTGATATATTCAAATCCTGCACAAACAGATTTGAAGTTGGTATAGAAAGCAAATCTTTTTGTTTCTCTATTCTTGACAGCAACTATATCCGTATTTCTGAGTCCAAGGGTGATATTACATCTACTATTGATTTTGATCTTGAAGAGGTTACTCAGTTGAAAGATTTCATTCTCAAATTAATATCAGACAATTGGTAAACTACCCGACTTGAGATGAAGAATTCTTTTCTCATCATTCATGATGCCAATTATTTTGGTGGCTTTTTCCGCATCATAAAAAAGATTATGACTCTTTATTTATTCCGGAAGGGCATAATGGATTAGGAATCAAATGCTTTTTAGAAGGGTTAACAAGACTAATTACTCTGATGAAGACTTATGTGGTCAAGCAGCCCTCGGCAACCGCTAAAAATGTCTCATGGGAGAACTTTTCAGGTATTCATACCTCTTTGAATAGAGATTTCCCCGATCACAATGATTTTTCAGTTTCTGCATCACTGTTTCAAGCTGATATTGAGTGTTATACCTCATTTGAGAAACCTCGGGAGATAAATACTGTAGAGGTCCTAAATTCTGACTTGGACTCTATCAAAGATTATTTTCAGTCTACTATGACCAATGGGGTGGAATCACTTTCTCAATTTTTAATTAAAGAAATTGAAAGAATCATTGCCTCCTTTTTGGATATTCGGGACTCTTCGAATATGAGACCTCTTGTTGAAGTGAGAGATGCAAATCCAGGGGTGAATTTCTCAAGAGAAGATTTAATGACTAATCAGTACTCGGAAGCAATTGATAGTGAAGATGTCTTTGTAGATAAAACCTCTACATACTCAGGAGATGATTTTATGGGTCATGCTTCAGAGAGCGAGAAAAGAACTCCTATATCGTTAGAGGAGGATCTATGGGATTCTGACGCAAATCAGGATATTTGCTACAAAGCTCGAATGGTCACAGTGGAAAACTGCTTACCCACACAAAATTTGAACACTCAAATCAAACTATACAGGAAAAGGCATCAACGCTCACATCACATGCGGACTAGATCTCAATCAAGAGTGGAATTCGGAAGACTCGATTAAGCTCATAGGGACGGGTCCTAGGGATGTTTTTCTTATTGTATTTGGGTTGGGTTGGTTTTTTGTTTTTGCATGTTTTGTTTTGTTTTTTCATTTTAGCTATCTCGTGTACTTTCCATTTCTCTAACTTCAATAAAATTTTATTTTTCCTAAAAAAAAAATTAGGAATTATGGTGTTGGAAAGGGAGACTTTGAAGTAAAGAAAAAGGAGATTGGACTGTCCAGGAGCTGAAACCCGACCGGGTATAACACTTGACCCGGTCGGGTAAGATTTAACAAACGAAGAAGCTCAGGAAATTTCAAGACCCGGTCGGGTGAGGTATTTCACCTGGTCGGGTCATATTTGACCCGGGACATTTTAACGTGCTGAAACACAAGAACGTGAGAGATTATCTGATTTTGACATGCACCCGGTCGGGTGGGCACTTTACTCGGTCGGGTACCCGGCCCAAGGTGTTGAAAAACACCTATAAATAACACACTTTTCCTTCACAAATAATCATTACTTCTTCCATACTCTTAAGCTCAGTTTAGAATAGTATTTATTTTATATTTTTATAGCATGTTTAGTCTCCAAATGAGAAGCTAAACTTCCATTTCTTGGTGTTGCTCTTGAAGCTTGTTGATTATTAAAGTTGTGAGTTATTTTCTTAACTTCTTCCCTTGAGTATTAATTCTTCCCTTAATCTATCTATATATTAATGTTGGGGAGTGTTGCTAAGTTGATAATTAGTTAACATCTTGACATTAGTTATAGTATTTTTTTTCTTCCTCTATATATTAATGTTGGGGAGTGTTGCTAAGATGATAATTAGTTAACATCTTGACATTAGTTATAGTAGGATTTATCATCTCTAATATTCTTCCTTGAATATTAATTAATTCCTATTCATATTTCATATTAATATTTTGAACATTACTTAAAGGATCAACTAGTTTTGTTTCATATATTAATTATTACTAGAATCGATCGACGAATACGCTTGTTAATCGTTGATGGTTTCACAAGTAAGTAACTTTGGTTTATTAATGCACGGTCGTGGTTAATAAACTTAAGAGGGATTAATTTTGTTGGTTAAACCGAAACCGTTGTGTTGAGGTTATCGATCTCAATTGATTTCATCAAGGAGTTAAGAGATTAAATGCTACTATCAAGTCGGTATATGGCGGTGTTCTAGACTTGACTAATAGTAAGGGTTATTAAGGAACAGTCGTTGTTAATAACTACCATCGATGAATTGGATATACTCCTCGATTGAGTTTTCGAGAGGGAATAAGTTATAGATATAACAATGATCGACTAAAATATATCAACAAGTGGAAAGTAGCAATGCCAAGTCCTTTTTATCTTTGAATTAAATTTCATATAAGTCGTTCATCTTCGTATTTAATTAAATTAAATCATTCAATCCTAAACCCCTCTTTTTATTAGTTTTATAAAAAGAGAATTATTTCTTCCCCTGTGGATACGAACTCTACTTCACTATACTACGTATTAGTGCTAGTATTGAATTTATTTTGACGCACCGTGACAAAGTGCACGTCAATATTCTAATTAAAACTAGCTATTCCATTTCAATAATTTTCACAGAGTATATTATAATAGCTATTCCGGACATGAACATTTGATGAAATTATATATTATATATATATATATAATATATATAATATATATATATATATAGGGCAAGGTTCAAGTAATATATATATATATATATATATATATATATATATATATATATATATATATATATATATATATAGATTTTGGTTCAAATGAGAATGAGTCTTAACGTGAGAACGTGAGAACATATCAGAACCCTTCATTTTTATGCATCTCACGTAAGTATTGATTAAAATGATAAGGGCAATTTTGTATTATACTCTTGGGTAGTTTTTTTTGGTAACTACCATGACTTATTAACGTGGAGTTATTTTAGGAATGAAATAATTACATTCCATTATTTCTCCATGTTCAAGAGACATATCTCCATATTTAATAATGTTGTAATCTGAGTGGGTTATTCAATTTCTCCATGTTCAACGTGAGACATATCTACATTCCTTTTTGTGCACTATATTTCTAATATTCATCATATTTTTTATATTTTTAACATTATTCAATTTTTGTGCATTAGATATATTATGTATTATGCATTATACATTTTCAACTCATGCATGGAATTGTGATTTATTTTATATTCGTTTCTTGTGCATCAAATACCAACCGAAGTGTGTTGTATGCTAATGAAGAGTAAGATGATTGTTCAAGTGCATTAAATATTGATTATTGTGTATTAGATACCGATTCTTGTGTGGTATAAATTTGCTATGATTTTTTTTACACAAAACATATGTTATGTACCGGTTCTTAGGCGTAAATACGTATTATGCATTAGATACTTATTCTTGTGTGTAATGTAATATACTAATTTAATTAAGTTGTGCGAATTTCTTATGAATTAGATATTTACTCCGTATTAGTTTTTAATTGTTGTGCGTCAGATATTAGTTCTTGTGCATTACATATTTGTAGAATTTGCATAACTTTATTGTGCGTTAGATATGAGTTTTTTTGGTAACTATTATTGAGTA